TAACACTTTCAGGTGAGAGACTTTGAAATCCGAGTTTATTTGGATTCCAATTGACGCTTATCAAATTAAAACACTAATTCAATTCGATAGATCGCTAAAGTTGGTCGTTTTTCACAATCTATTTTTATAATTAAATTCCATTGTAAATGCACTATCTATATATTTGTGCCTGTATGTAATCAACTACTGTTGTGTTTGTAAAGCCATTAAAAACATCGTCAAACTCGCTTAAAAAGACGTGATATCAATCTGCCAATCTTGTATGTGTTCTTGTGCAAACTCCAGGTGCACGAAACGAAACTAATTCTGGAATCAAAATATCTTTATTTCATAAAAGAATAAATTGCCTAATGCAAATTTCTTGGAACGCATATAACAGATCATTTCAGTGAAATGACATACTGTTGTCCCGTTCCGTCTGTCATCAGGTATCGTGTGCAGTGTAAACCTTTTCAAAGTTGCAGAATTTTCGTAATCCAATTTTAATCGTATTTGGCGACAAGTTTTTCTTGATACAAGACGATTATGTCTAACCCAACAAGGGGCAGTTCAAAATTCTTCCATAAAAGACATTTTATAGAAGATACAGATTGTCTTTCGTAATCTTAAGAGACTAACGAAGGTTTGTCAATTTGAAATTTAGATATGTCACATTACCTGGTGCCCGATATGAAGGAGTCGTCATCACCGTAGCTATATTGGAAATGTATATTCTGGAATCCTGTGTAAGACCGGAAAATTGACTCCAGCTTGATCGTGTTACAAATATTTTTGAGGATAGCCTGTTTAACAATTGTATAATTGGGGAGTTCAAAGGAGGGAAGGCCAACAGGACAAATAAAAAAAATCTTTAAACAAAATACAAGTGTCAGATTTAAAAATGCTTTAGGAAGACTTATAAAACGTCAGGACTGTCGTGTCCCTAGCAGCCTGTTGTGAAGGAGAAACTTCATTTAGCGCTGCACCGAACAAAGGATGTGCTCTGTTTGTAACCTGGGTTATACTTATTCTAAATACACAAAACCAGACTTTGATTGAAATTGAAATATGCCATTTATTAAAAATAAGAAATGACGACAAAAATATAACAATTACAATTTCCTGTTCATAAACAGTACAGTAATTAACTGTACTTAATGTTATCCAATCAGAGATATCCTAAAAAAATATACCCAGGACTACAAAGATGGGGATCAAATTACGCCATCATATAGCCAAGCAATTCCATTAATGTTGGAATAAATTGCTAGCTATGTCCCCCATCCACATAGGAAGACTTATGAAACATCAGGAATGTCATGTCCCTAACAGCCTGATGTGAAGGAGAAACTTCATTTCAGTAAATGTAAAATATAGGTATTTCTGATATCTGTAAAACTGGTCGATTGATTTCATGGCGTATATCGTTGTTGAAGAAGAAAACATTTACCCTTCAATAACACCTGGCCCCAGGATCTCGAAACTTCTTAATCCATTCTCAGTGCTTAACTTTTAGACTATGCTTAATTTTAAGTATATTCTCAAAATGTGTGTATCTCATGGAATCTCAACTACTCCATTCTTAAAAAGAATTTTCCTTCCTCGGGTAAGTCCTCTGGATTTTTTTTCATCCGGGGACATCATTGACATTCGTATTTATACCAGAAACTATTTCTTTCATATTAAATCTAATTGGGGATAGTTAAGAGCGCTCTACCAGCAGGAACCAGCCACTTCCCCAATTATGCAGCTGATACGTGCGTTACGTTTTTCCACTACCGGAACATTCTAGAAATGCGTTGGTGATACGTTCATGCATATAATGTGGTATAAAATGGGTTTTAAGTTACTGATAGGCATAATGCATGTATGTATTCTTCAATATATCTTGAAATACAGGCCTACACCGATTTCACAATGTCCCAAACAATATTACTCGCAAATAGGTGCCTTCGACGAGGTTCGAGTAATATGCAAGGGCGTACAAAAACAAGGGACAGACTGGAATATTAGCAAAACGTGAAATGGACCCGCAAAATTTTTTAGTTTACACATAAATGTAACTATATGATATGGCTATGATTGCTTTATGATATGTATAGCTACATTGGATTGTATGAATTTGCTTTGCAATAAGTAGTTGTTTTTTCATTAAAACATGTATGAAGACATGTGAGAGGAAAAGTGACTACAATTACAAACGATCATGAAGATAATTCATCGATGACCTTGGTCTCTTTGTTCTTGTATCAGTAAATTTTCTTGTCTAATTCATGCTTTAAAAAAGCTGGCAAATATATTATTATTCAAATAAGTGAGATTGTGACCTTGTCAAATGATTCATAGTACTTAATCCTGCACATAACACCTCTTGTTTTATGAGTTATGGGAAAGATAGGTGTACACAGGTGTAACTTGTGATAAATCGGCCAAAAACAGTATATGCCAGGACATGATCAAACCCAAAGACAACTTACATATGGGAATTTTATTTAGTCAATTGTACATGTATAATGCTCCATCATGTGGTAATGACTTCTGAAAATAGTTTTTTATTTCCTCTGTCTGTTTCCACGAGGATTTCCTTATGTAGCAGGCTGTATTGATGGAGTGTTCATCAGAAGTTCTCTCTAGCCGTGTGGTATATTGCGACTAGTATTTTACCAGGGTTACATCAATAATAGAATGGACAGCGATAATAATGACTTTATAGTCACTGTGATAATTATTATGCTGCAGCTGTTGGATGATGATGATGATGATGATGATGATGATGATGATGATGATGACGACGACGACGACAAAGTAACAGCTACAATGATTAGGATGATGTCAGTGGTGTCCAAAATTCCACAATGTTCATGATTATGACAATAACGCCGACTCCATCAGTTTGAGTCAAAGTCAATCGCCTTCCCATGAGTGTACCTAAAACATTAATACAAAAATTGAAAATAACTTTACCACTAACCCCGTCATTTTGCTTTTTTAACACAGATATATAGGTATTTCAAAAAATAGTGCATCTTTGTTGCCAGTCGCCTCTTGTGAGTATGGCAACTTTTTAAGCAAAAAGTAAAAACTTAAAACAAATTATACACCTTCCTTTACAACCACCTCATCCCTCCCCACCAAAATTTACTAAATTTCAAATAACTTTGTAAACGATGGGTGTATTGAAGTGCCTACTATGCCAGGCCTTTTTCCAAGGGATATGTGGGGCTTAATACGGGCTCCATTCCCGATTGGATTTATTTCATAATATGGCCAAATTTCAGAAACATGTATTTTACTCCTATACATTTCCTTCCCGATTGATCATTTTCTCCCTAAAATGAAATGAAAATCCTATTCCCTAATGAATGTAAGAAATATGTATGTGGTCAAGTTATATACAAAGATTGGTTAAGTTGAACTTTTTGAGAACAGATCTATATGCAGAACTTTACGACAAAATGTTGCCATTGCCGTCTGCCAAACTTTAACAGCATAGCCTCACTTCCATGACTTCCATTGACCCAAAAATGTTTGAAATATGAATCAGTTGTGACAACATCACTTCATATTGTTTTAACAAATAAGATCACCTTTAAAACATTTTAAACTAGAATAACAACAAAACAACAGACTGATTTAAGGAAAAAAGGGGTCAGTTTGTTCATCTTGATTTTTCATATCACATTTTGTCTACTAAAAATCTAAATCTTTACATACAAGTTCATGTTTGTTGTTGAAAGATAATACTACTTTTACCACACTCAATCAACACAACAACACAGGTTCAGTGCGCCATTGTGTAAAACCAGGGTGAAGATAGAACAGACATATGGTATCTTAAAACGTAGATTCTCTTGTCTTAACACTGGTCTCCGAGTTGATCCAAGCAGTGCAGCCAAGATAAGTACATCATTGACCTAACTTCTTCATTAAGTACACTTTTCTCTCTTTCGGTCCAATTAATTACTCGTTTTTTTACATTTTGTAGGCATTTCGAATTATCAATTTCATATTTAAAAAAAGAAACAAATGTGATCGGTGCAGTAGTAAATATAGGTAATACGTGTTATACAAAACGTTGTCAGTAAACTGTGTAAAAAAGCGGTAGAAACATAATATTATTAGCGCGCAGACGACAGGTTGAATGTCAAGTGCGGAAGTACCGAAATAAAAGTAACTGCACAGATGTGTTTTTTTCAGTTTAACCGCGTCTAATAATAGCTTAAAGTTGAAACTTACTTCAAAACTGCATCACCGTCATTCCCGCCGTCGACTTATCTCGCCTTTTTCTAATGAAGATTTCTAATTAGGGCCGCTTATGTTCTGACAAACACATTCGTAGGTAAGCACGTTCTAAATATTAGAGAACGCGTTTGAGAAACACCATTTTAAAAAATTTTCAACTATGTACGTACTCAAGTTGAGAATTTAGAGTTGTGAATCCAAATTTAAGACGATTCGAGATCCTAGGGCCTGGTCTTAATCTCCTAATACTTATGCAGGAATCCCCGAGTAAATCTTTCTCTTGTTCATGTTATTCTCATTTCATTGATTTTGTGTTTTTATTAAAATTATGTTCCAATGGTGACGTTTTCTTTGTTTTCAACCTTATTTGGTCATAAGCGATTTCAGTATGAGTAATAAACTGACATTTCCTTAATTATATATATATCATTTTTTTCTTTTTTTTTCATTTTTGTTTTGTTTGTTTTTGGTTCTTGGTTTTTTTTTTTTTTTTGTTTTTTGTCTGCATTTTACGGAGATCCATTGTTGAAACCTGGTATGCTATAATTTATAATAATACTACTTTTACATTTTCTATTCAAACTCAAATCACCATTGCAGTTTTTGTATTCATTTCAACATTTATTACGGCCCTACAACAGTGATGATAATGGTGCTCATCTCAGTGTGTAATATGAAAACGATATCCCAAAAAGCGAATTAAACATCCTTATTTGTTCATTTTACAAATTTGATATGTTGTTATGTTCTGTCTGCAGGAGTAATATCCCACTAGTGAAATGAAATCTGCTACCAATGTAACAGCGAATCTGCAATGTGCCCATGAAGAGTCGAAAGATCAAGTGAACATACCATCTGGAGATGTTCCAAATGAGACGATAAAAGTTCCAGATGGAGGATGGGGATGGATTGTCACATTCTCATCCTTTATGCTGAATTGTTTGATGGATGGAGCATTAACATCTGGAGGAATTTTCTTCCAAACGTTCTTGACTGAGTTTGGAGACAGTAAGGGGAAAACACAGTTAATGAGTTCCATGAACAGCGGCATGTCATATCTAATTGGTACGGGTTTTACATTTACTTTTTCTGCTATAAAATGGTTGTGAGTGCCGTCGTCTATTCATTTTTCTCAAAGTTTCTTCCAACTTATTCCTACTTTGGATATGACGATTTATCAGTCTTGCTTCTACCAAAGGCAACTTTGTTTGGAATAAGAAAATGCCACTCACATAAAGGTTTTGATTTCGTTCTCAGGAATGATACAAAGATATCTGATAAAGCCTTTCCGAAAATAAATTGCCAATCGAATACTAAAATTGTTGCAAGGCTCAGAGTATTTACAAGTACTATATTACATTCTATCAGATGTATGATACTTATTTATTTAATTCTGGGGTCACAACACATCCCTATCTAGATTCTGACAACTTTTTATGATAATTTGCGTTTCCACAGTCGCCTCCTATACATCATCACTGTAGATATGTATAGATACACAATCCTATAAATAATTTTTTTTTCTTTTGAATTTGTATTTTGTCAGTCTACTCAAACATACATGACTTTTGGTCGTTATATTTGTGTAGCAAGCTTATAAATTTCGGTTAGCAAGTTAGCAACTGACTTTATGGATAGTTTTACTTTTAAGTTCAGAACAATTGAGTCATTCAACCTCATTTCACTTTAACAGTTTTCGTCCTTTGAATAGCAATTGTTAGATGTAGATCGTGTCCTTGGATACTTTAACCAGAGTTATAATCAGGTAGAACCTAGTACCGTGTTTTACAACTTTGAATTGTTACGACATGGGGACAATACAGATAGCCTTCCTCACCATTAGGAATGCTCAGTCCAAAAGTCATAATGGTGAAGATAGGTATTTAAAGAAGAGTGAAAATAGAAGATAAGATGTAATGTTGTTTATCAAGATTATACAATGGAACAAATGTCACGTCGTACTTACAGGTCTCAGTCACAGAGATGGGATAATTGAATTCAAATATCAACATCATATACAATATCTGTAAATGGGAAAAATCTATTGTGCCCTGTCCATGAATGGTGGTGAATAATAAGTTATTTAGAAACGTTGTACAGTAGTACCAATGTACTCGCTGTCTGTGCTGTTCAAACAAGATTTTTTTTGTGCAGCGTTGATATATATATGTAAAGCACTTCAAACGTTTCTAAAATCAATACCTCCAACATTTCAGAAGGTTCTATAACACATTTTATCTGATAAAGGTCCGATTGCTGGGGCTCTTGCCAGCCGTTACGGGTGTAGAAGAGTTACCATTCTAGGACTTGTCTTAGCAAGTACAGGATTCTTTCTATCAACATTTTCCTCAAGTATTGAAGTTATGATTCTGCTTCATGGCGTTCTTGGAGGTAAGGTTAATTTTTCGCGGTTTTGGACGAACAGGGTTTTGTTGCTCGCCTTTTTCGTGCGTTTGGCATCAAATTTATCATTTATATGATTTCTTACTCACCAAAAAGTTCAGGAACTTGACAATGAGTCTGGGATAAGCGCTACCATGTTTGTTTAAAGGACAAGCCCCACAGTAGCATCATTTGGGAATGTGTTTTGAAATTTTCAGGAACTGACTTAAGGAAGGGAATAAGCCTTCTTTATGAGCTGTTCAACACGTCACTTCGGCGTAATAGGCATCTTCTCTATGATACCATATTCTAGATAATGCCAACATGTTCGCATAATCTTTCCCAGCACCGCTGCATGAACATGTCAGTTTTCATCTATTTAACATAGGATAGGCATGACACTTGATGATAAATAATATGCTGACACATTTCATCCTTTTTCCTATAGAATTGAATTGTGTCTTACAAAATTCATTGTAATAATATTAATATATTTTATTCAATTTTCAGGGATAGGGTTCGGACTTGTATATACACCAACAATAATTATAGTGAGTACATACTTTGAAAAACGCAGGGCTCTTGCCATTGGAGTCGCAACATGTGGATCAGGTATAGGGGAGTTTGTGTTTGCCCTATTGTCCGTGAATCTACTGGAGGCATACGGCTGGAGGGGAACCTTTTGGATTATATCCGGCATTGTGTTAAATGGTGTTGTGTTCGCATCATTTTACAGAGAACTGAAAACTGAACCAGTTAAGAAAGAAGTGATTAAAGGATCATGTTGCAAGAAATTGTGTTGTTCTGTCGACGTGAATTTCAACTGGTCATTACTGAAAAGTCGATCCTTTGTTATTTTCTCTCTGTCGTGTTTTCTTGTGTCAGTAGGTATGATACCAATACTATCCTGATTGATTATATATGTACGTGCATTGCTTGAACATTTGAATATAAATGCAATATTATATTCCGAAAAATAGACATATCAACCATTCCGTCTTGTTTCTTATGTTAGGATTGAAAATTTATCAGACCAACTAATTTGAATTAAATAGAAGCATCATTGCATTGTCTGAATGTTTTGTGTTCCAGGTATGAACATTCCATACGATTTCCTTCCGGCACTGGCGAGTGATCTCCATCTGTCTAATAATGAGGGTGCTCTTCTTATGTCTATCCTAGGAATATGTAACACAGCATCGAATGTCATATTTGGCATCATCATTGACCTTGACCATGTCAACAGCATTCTACTCGGCAGTGCTATGCTCATAATTGGAGGAGTTGCCACGTGTCTTGTTCCCTATTATCGGGGATTTACTTTGCTTGCAGCATACGCCGCTCTGTTCGGGGTGGTCATAGGTATACTTTAAAGTGTTGTTTATCTGTGTCTGTATGTTTAGACATGTATCTAACGTTTTTATTAGCTCATTTGGGACCATCCAATGTGCAAATTATTTTGGAAAAGATCCGTCGTTCAATCGTTCGTCCAAGCGTACGTCTGGTTAGTTAGACCGTCATTCATCAACTGTTGTCAACTTGGTAATAATACACCAGGAGGAACCTCGGTCAAATCATTGTATATTTTCCATATACATTAAAAAGAAGGAACCTATTTTTAGAAGAACAAGAGTCCTTACATTTAGCTTGTATGTACTTTTGATACACAATTAAATTACCTTGGCCTATAATTTAGGTCAACTTGAAAACATATGTGAATATTCTCAAGTTCCTGAAAACCCAACGTACTATTATTTGACCACTTGATACATTAGGTAAAGTGCAACAAATAAAATATTATCTTCTTCTTAAGTTCCCTTGAGTACATGTGCCAGATTTTACGCCAGCAGGTATATAAGTCAGTGTTCTATAGAGTGTCCTCGCATAATTGATTTACTTTAAAGGTTGCATGTGCCGAATATGTCAGGATATTTGTTTATACAACACCAGGGGCAAGGTGATATTAACTTTCCTCTTAAAATATTGACCAATATTCAAGGTCAGAGGATTCAAACATGTATAAGTGTCATAAATGTATGATATATTACGCCAATCAATAATGTATATATTGCATCATCTGTTTACAGTGATCATACTATAATTCATTTCAAAATCTCGTACTTTGTTTAAACAAGAATCCTTTCAAATGAAAATATTTCTCCGTCAGTAAGCAGGCTCCAACAGAATGTATATCAATCTAAATTTAACAAAGCATTTCCCTGGTAGACATGTATCAGTCAGATCATTTAATGACATGAAAACTGATATAAGACTTCATACGATGTAGACATAGAGCACATCGAAAAGTTTCATCATGTAAACGTCCATATTATTGTGAATGCTGTTGGAGTATCAGGAACGAAACCACTTATCAAATACGAGAAGTTTGAGAATCAATATTATGCTGTTTTTCAAACCATGTTCTTAAAATCACTTAATCAATTAATTAAAGTGGTTCAAACATACATAACATTTTTTGCAATATAATATCTGGTAGATCGTGGTATTTGAATACATCAAATACATATTGACCAAAATAACCAAATTCCAAACGGTGTTTTCCGGTTTGTCTGAATTAAGATATTGCCCATGTTAGTGAAATTTTGGTTATTGATGTGGTATGAAATCTGAAACATGGTTGTGATATGTGTTGTCTGGACAAAATGGCCGATCAGACCAATCAAGCTGGCCAAGCGGTTTCAGTTGATAGGTGTAAGGGATCGATACCAATGCTTATTGTTTAAATGTTTTAAGAATATACAACAGCCTCTTTAGCGGACCTTCTTTGCCTATGTTAGAGTACATGTATGAACTCAAGGGGTAGTTAGGACGACTTCGGTGGCAGTTAATACTTGTTAAGTTTGTACAAACGGCACACAATAGAATTGCACCTTTTAATGTTAATCTATAATAAGATACCGATAGCCAGATAATGAATTAAACTCCATCAAACTGCTGTTGCTAACTTTAAAAAACAAGTATATGTGTATATTCTGAAACGTGTCACTATTCGATTGAATTAAAACGTTGCATGCAGGTTACGGTAAATCTCGAGGACTAAAAAATCTGCCTGAACAATTACTTTACCCGGTTATAATAATTATTTTATTTTGTAAAAGTAATTCTGTGGAACGAATGTTAATGATTGATTAGATTCCTATAAGATGAATTAATTTGTGACGCTAGAGATTTTAGTTTTTCTCTGTTTCATGTCTACTTTTGTTTTCTTTGCTTTTGTGTCCACTCTGAGGTCTTTCTTTTGACATCTGTCTTTATATGATCCTGACTGGTGCAAAGACGTTAAACCATATAAAAGGTCAAACTGTTGAAATCTTTTACATTTATGATATTTTTTCTTATCTTTATTTTCATTTGTTTTTTCTGCGGTTGATTTCAGTATAAAAGTCTAAAAGTTGTTGACAAAAATTTAGTCAGTAAAAGCAAGACATATAAAATCCGCTAATTTGACAAAATTTCAATATACTCTCATATCTGATAAAAGATAAAATCCAATGTTTTTTCTGAATTGCAATCTTTTCTGAGCATTTTCCTGTATCAATGCAATATACGGAAAAAAATCAATTTCGAGGAATGTTGACAAGTCTCTATATTTAGATGTTATACGTCCCCTATGGTGTGAACTGGACATCATCAAACATACAAAGTATTTGTAAAGACAGGTGCTCGATCTTATAACGCTTCCACATTAAATGTATCATACAGTTTGTATCAACCACTCTAACAACGTCAGTTGTGCATTACCACATTATGAACTGCCAACTATAAAGGGATATTACCGGTAATGTGAGTAAAATGAGGTATAAGATGCAAATTGAACACTGTAAATTTAGGGATATAATGCTTTCAGTAGGCATTCAGAGCTATGAATACCAAGGATTTTTTCAACTTCAATGAATTGCGTTATTCGAAGGCAAAGCAGAACATTCTGCCTTGAATAAATCTAAAGTACGTAAAGAAACGGCATACGACTTCAGTGATATGATGTTTTTTTCTGAACAGGTGTACGTCATTTTTTTAATGTGAACAGTCTTTATTAGAGAAAAAACGCATACTGTAAAATATTTGATTTAAATCAAATTTTAAATTCACGGCTTTTTAAAATTACCTTTACAGTTAAAGGAAAATGTATTGGGATATATCTTTCCAAGAAATCAAGAGTCAGCGAAATAGGACTAAAAAGCATGAAAATGAAGCAATACAAAACTAAATTGTTTTACTACATAACAGAAAGTTAAAACACTTAATATTACCATTTTTATCAGAGTATAGAACGAAGAAAAACATAGGGAAGAGTGAATTATTCGAGGATATTTATTGATTTTTAGGAGCATTCGATCCTCTGACCTCCATTATCATTGTTAAACTGAAAGGAATCGGACGCCTACCTAGCGGGTTTGGACTGCTCAACCTTTTTATCGGGATTGCTGCAATAATTGGATCACCGATAGCAGGTAATATTATATATAATATTAATGATGTCAAAATAACATTTGTTTCTAAAAATATATTCTAATATGTTCAATGATTAAAGTTAAGAAAGCATTTTGCAACATGGTAGTACATTTTCTGGGCCAAATATGGGCCCAATACGATTATTTTCACGATATGACCAAATTCCCAAAATATGTTGTTTACTTTTTTAAAAATTTCCTTCCTAATCGGTCAGTTCGCACAATCTCTAAGAGGTTTTAGCCAATATAGTACGCTTAAATGACATATTCCTCTTTTCCAGGAACCATTTCTGACGACAGAGTGAGTTATGACATGGCATTCTATTTCGCTGGAGCTGTAATAACTGTAGCTGGTATAATAATCTTACCACTTTGCAAGTTATCATGCTGCCAAAAAACGGGAACAAATGAAGAAAGTTCAAGAAAGGAATAATTCGATATGAGTATGTGTTTCAATGGTTGGTTGTTGATATCGATCAATAGACAAAGAATGAGGAGGAGTTTCACCTGCCTGTTGCTCGTATCAAAGAAATAGAAACACAAATAAACAGTTCTTACATTTGTCTTCTTGTTTCGTTAAATGGTTAAAGATATCAACGGGATACATGCCGAATAAACGAATGTTTCCACGGTGATTCGTGAACTGTGTAATGTGTAATGTAACCAAATATGCATCAGCAATTATATAATGTTATTTTAGGCAAAGTTAGTTTTTACTTTTAGAATCCGTTCACGTTTAGTTGGCAAATACGTGTGCCGCGGGCATATGATAATATCAAGGGTCACGTGAAAGAGAGGTAATTATATTGCAATACGATTGGTTTTTGAACGTCAAAACTGCGCCTAAAACTGACATATATCATCGGCTACAGGTCTGTTCGTGTTCTGAGTACCAGCAACAGGCTGCGCCTAAAACTGACATATCATCGACTACAGATCTGTTCGTGTTCTGAGTACCAGCAACAGGCTGCGCCTAAAACTGACATATATCATCGACTACAGATCTGTTCGTTGTTCTCAGCACCAGCAACAGGCTGCGCCTAAAACTGACATGTATCATCGGCTACAGAACTGTTCATCGTTCTGAGTACCAGCAACAGGCTGCGCCTAAAACTGACATATGTCATCGGTTACAGATCTGTTCGTTGTTCTGTGCACAAACAATAGGCTGAGCATCTCCGTTTGAAAAAGCTCAATAAGCTAACTCGGAATTACCTGTACTATTTGGAAACTGCAAACACTTTCGTAACAAGTTTTAGGATGTGTCAACATCATTGAAATCATCCAGAGTCCAAAACTGTTGTATCATCTAGATATTAAAAGTCATGGAATGCCGAGATTAATTCCCATAATGCAAAATGCAATATTGTTTGCCCAACAAGATATTAAATCATTATTACAAAACACCATTAAACCTACAATATACTGCCGATCGTTGGGGCCATATTCTTTCTCGTTACCAATGAGGATAAATTAGTCTCTCTTTTATAATGTTTGTGGATAATACTACTATGTTTTCAGCCATATTATGGTCATTAAATGAAATGTTTACGTGTATAAATCAATTATTTTTTCCCGCTATTTGCCTTTGGAAGTAAAGGTACTGCTATGTGTTCATCTTGAATAATGTGTGGCAGGTTTTGCATTGTAATTAGATATATATTTAGCATATGATCATACCTGTATTGTGCGTATGGGATTCCATCCTTTTTGGATTTATTCATAAACAAATTTATTTTAGAACCTTAGACTTAAAATTAATTCCGACTTTAGTAGTGTTTCAGGTATGGGTCTGGCCCCTATGATCGAGAGGCAAATAGATGCACAAGCTTATGGTATTTTCCATGAGGAAAAGAGGGACTGAGGCGAGTAGGGACAATACCAACATATTTTCGTTTGAATTTATAAAGAATATTTTACCTGTGATATTGTTTGGTTTACCACCCCGGTTCAGTGGTGCAGTCTGCTGTGGTGATAACACGTGTGATGATATCGAACCTGATGTTCAGGTAATCACATGGGTATCTAATGTCCAGTCACCATATTCATTCCAATAATATATCACGTTCATGCTTCGCTGATTTCATAGTAGTTATCAAAGTATGTACAACGTTTAAGAAGACATACAATATGTCAACAAGTGTCTAAACGGGCTACATTAGAGGTCACATGCCATCGGGCTACTTTAGATGACTCATGTTAACGGGTATCTTAACTGGGTCATAGTTTTTAAGTCGTTCAAAATTATATCTAGTCCTGTAAAAGTAAATCGGGTCGCATTACCGCACCTAATTTAAGTGTAATTGGAACGTGACTTGACATCCAGAGTTAAATGTTATGTAGTACTGATCTGTTATTCAAGGCAATATGAGCCTGTATCTAGTTATTGGTTAGTAATAATAATAATAATAATATACAATTTCACAAATTACTCTAAGGCACTTTACAGTGCATGTAAAATTTCAGTCATGGTATCAATAATACATTATGCATCTACATATATGTATGATATGCTGATCATTGTGTCCGCATGATCACCAGAAAAACACCACATGTATGTACATGTAGCAAAAATCACTAGTCTAAGAAAACGCACACCTGAACACATAGGTCTTAACACCCTTTTTGAAAGTGGCGAGTGTTGTTGCTTTCCTGGTTTGTGATGGTAGGTTATTTCACAGTACGTGACTTAGGCATACACAGCAGGGACTCTGACCGTAATGAACGTGAAGGCTGGTATGGAGTGACGAGCTCTCTTAGATAACCAGGAGCTGTTCCATCGAGTGATTTCTAGGTGTGCATCGGAATCTATAATGCACAGGTAACCAATGTAAAGAAGGCAGCAAGGATGTTATGTGCTCACGTTTTCTAGTACTGGAAACCAGACGCGCAGCAGTGTTCTGGACTTTCTGCAGGCGCCTAGTTGCCGAGTCAGAGATTCCATAAAAAAGGGCGTTCCCACAGTCCAGGCGAAAAGTCACAAGTGAATATAACAGTGCCTTGCATACATCCGTAGTGAGGAACTGCCGAATACGTCCAATATTCCGAAGTTGGTAGTAACAGTTTTTGCAATAGCATTCAGCTGCTTTTCCATGGTCATTGAACTGTTGAAGTGTACGCCCAGGATTTTAACAACTGGAGCTGCCTGAATGGTTTTTGTACCAACTTTAAGGTGGATATCGTGTGTCTTTTGATGCTTTGGTGCGAAAACAATACGTTTCGTCTTATCCTGGTTAAGCTTAAGCATATTGGCGTTCATCCAGGCACTGATGTCTACCAGGCAGGCCTTTATATTATGTGCGATGGTATCCCAGTCATGTTGGGGTCTGAAAACCATATATATCTGTGTGTCGTCTGCATAACAATGGTAAAGCAGGTTATGGCGACGACAGATCTCAACAATTGGTTTCGAGTACAAACAGTACTTGCGAGATCTAAGCACCGAACCTTGTGGAACACCAAATCCAAGGATTTTATCATCGGATGTAGCTGATCCTATGGCCACACACTGTCGTCTGTCACTCGGATAGGACTGGATCCAGCGTAAAGCGTCCCCAGTGACTCCATAAGAGTAATTCAGACGTTTAAAAGGTATGCCATGATCAATGACGTCAAATGCTGCGAATAGGTCTAGCATGACAAGCATTGCTCTGCACTTGTTGTCTAAGGCTGCAGCAATATCGTTGTGTATGCGAAGGAGTGTCCTGTGCGGTAGACTGACTGCAGGTTGTCGTGCAGATCGTTTGCCTGTAGATGCAACTCTAAACGCTTGGAAACAATCTCTAGTATCTTTGATAAGAATGGAAGATTTGATACGGGACGGTAGTTTTTTTATTCCTCCTTGTTCAGCCCAGACATCTTAATTAATGGTTTGGCATTAGCCTTCTTGACCCACAACGGTGCCTTTGACTCGGCCAATGATTTGTTTATGATCGAGATAATCAAAGGAAGCAATGCTTCAAGAAATTGCTTCAACAGACTTGTGGGAAGCGGATCCAGCTCACAGGACCTAGATGGCGAGTTGGTACCGTAATAATCTTGCGCACCTCGTCTTCAGTTGTTGGTGTGAGCTGTGTCAATGCTTCGCCATCAAATGGTATGTCAGCTGTCATCACAAGGTTATCACTGTTGACTAGGCTGTTCACAGTACCAATGTTTATTCTGATGATCGTGATTTTGTTCATGAAATAATTACTGAACTTGTTAGAGAAAATCAGATGAACAGCTAGGTAGGATTGAATCGCCATTCTGACCCATAAGGTTTTTGGTAAGCCTGAAAAGTTGCTTATGGTCGGTACCACATTCCGCTATATTACCCGAATAGTAATGGTTCTTTGCTTGAACAAGCAGCACCCCGACTAACCGACATTGATCATTGTAGATCTGTTGGTGGATTGACAGTTTTGTTCTGCGCCATTGTCTCTCTGTTTTTCTTCGCTTCTGTTTTGCCTCGCGCAATTCATCTGTCTACCAGGGAACATTTGGTCTTTTAGTTATCACCTTGGTCTGCTTGTCTATCAGGTCATTTATGCCAGAAATAAATGCTTCGACAAGATCGTCTACCCCACCCACAGTTGACTGTAGTGTGTGAGAGGATTCAATGTCTCTAATGAAATCTGGTACAGAAATTTCACGATATCTCCGGAAACTGACATCCTTTCTAATGCGACCTGGTTTACCACACCTGAGTGTAGTATGCACCGCAAGGTGATCACCAGATGGGTTCCCCTTGACATCACTAAGACACGGGTCTACGACAGCTGGTACACCATACATGTGGTATTACAACCTGATGGTCCAGGTAGTTAGACCACCCTCGAAATACACAGTGCTTCGGCAACCGTTTCGTTTAGACGGAGGGGCCTGTATATTATACACAATCTGATTTGTACATCACCAGCACAAATCGAGCAACTGAGGTGCTCAAAGTGGGTGAAGACATATTCTTGACTAGAAGCAAGTTGTCTAACATTTAGATTTTTCGTAAATAGCACACCCACTCCACCGCCACGTCTCTCCTGGCGGGAATTTTGTCGTATCCTGGTGGAACAACTCCGCTAACACCTAGTTGTCAATGTTTATTCCATGCCAGGTCTTCGTTAATACCAAAATATCAATGTCCTGAGATGCAATGAAATCACTGATAGAGAGTGCCTTATTCTTTACCGAGCGACAGTTCAAGAACATTAGATTCAGTGGAACAACCGATTTTGAATGAGTGACCGTCATTGGCCTAATAATGATGTTGTGGAAAAGGATCTCTGGATGCACACGGCGCATTGTGTCGACGTTATCTTGGACGAATTTGCCATCGCGACACGCGCGATCATATGTCAACTCGTCCCGAAGGTGATGGTCGACGGTGCATTACAACATCGAGAGTAGTTTGCACCCGGTCATACCTGAGAATAGACGTGTTTTCCACGCTCTCGG